CGAGGTAGCGCGCGTTGGCGGTGATCCGCCCTGTAAGCGGGTCGTCGTCCATCACTTCTCTGGCTATCTTGAGAGCTGACTCGTCGAGGTCGCTGTCGGGAACGTTCCTGCAAGCATGCAATGCCCAGAGGACATCCTTCTTCACCTCTACGGCGACCAATTCCGTTGCATGGTCGGGCTCGTCGTCCACGTCGCCGTCGTCAAAGCACTCGTCGCGCGAGAGCGCCTCCACGTCTGCCAACCAGCGTCAGCTTCATCGCTCACGGCGCCCAGCGCTGAAAGCCAGGTCTCGTCCACGTCGTCGCCGACTGCCGTGTCGCTGCCAACGTCGCTCAACGCCGCAAGCCACGTGTCGCTCGCGTCTGCCATCACAGCAGGCGTAACCAAAGCGTACGATGGTATACGTAGAATGCCCGGGGTTTGAGCCAAAACGGTTACGGACAAGAACAGGATGCGTTGCCTGGTAATTGTCAAGGTTGATATATCAACGCTGGCTGTCTGGTAGCTGCTCCTCACCTCTTGGTTTATCTATGTTTACCTGTTGTATTCCTTCATAGATGTATAGTGTACTGTGCCCCCATCCTTTATTATCTCTGGGATTCTCCATCCGCCTCCCCTCTCCCTGAACTCATGTTCCCTCCCTCCACCCCGATCTCTCACCCTTTCCCCAAACTTGTCGCACATATGGGCTTCGGCCCCGATCGCCTGAAACGTTGGACTAAGTGTTCGAATCACCATACTTGTCCGTTTATATCTTTGCGCTGGCACGTATAACACATTTCGAACTCGTCCTAAGCCCTTAAACGCCCCAAGACACCCTGCCCTAGATACCCAACTCTGGACGCCCCAAGGTTCTCAGCTTAGGCCTTTAGGAGGACTGCATGCGATCTGTAGCTAGATACGCCAGCCCCCATATGAGGCCACCCAGCGCATTCACTCGATCAGGCCCCCCTGTGAGTTCGCCCAGCCCCCGAGGGGCCCCGGTGAGGTCCGCCAGCCCCCCATGAGGCTCCTTATGAGTCCCCCCATTTAGGAGTCCCGCCTGCACTCTGAAGCTATATCCGCCAGCCCCTCATGAGGCCCCCCAGCGTCTTCACAGATCTACTCGTCTGGCCCGTCCTATAACATGCTTCTCAATCGTCGGCGCGTCGAGAGCGCGCCCTGGATTTTTTCCTACGCTGCGACTAATGTGTTTCGCGCAATACATATGAACAACTGTTGTTTTGTGTTATTCCCTACCTAGGCTCTGCCTAGAAAGGTTCTTACTCTCTAGCTTAAAAGGGCCGGGCAATGGAAACCACCCCGGGCGGTTCCCCCAGTCCCCACCCCGCGGTTCCCCCAGTCCCCTGGGAGCTTTAGCCTTAGCTTTAGCTTTAGCTTAGCTTTAGATTTAGCGTTAGCTTTAGCTTAGCTTTAGCTTAGCTTTAGCTTAGCTTTAGCTTAGCTTCGGCTTAGTGTTAGCTTAGCTTTAGCTTAGATTTAGCTTAGCTTTAGCTTAGCTTCAGCTTAGTGTTAGCTTAGCTGTAGCTTAGTCTTAGCTTAGCTTTAGCTTAGCTTTAGCTTAGATTTAGCTTAGCTTTAGCTTAGATTTAGCTTATAGTTAGCTCAGCTTCAGCTTAGCTTTAGCTTAGCTTCAGCCTAGCTTTAGCTGACCCTTAGCTTAGCTTTAGCTTAGCTTTAGCTTAGCTTCAGCTTAGCTTTAGCTTAGCTTCAGCTTAGCTTTAGCTGACCCTTAGCCTAGCTTTAGCTTAGCTTTAGCTTAGCTTTAGCTTAGATGTAGCTTTAGCTTTAGCTTTAGCTTTAGCTTAGCTTTAGCTTAGCTTTAGCTTAGTGTTAGCTTAGCCTTAGCTTAGCTTTAGCTTAGATTTAGCTAAGCTTTAGTTTAGATTCAGCTTAGTGCTAGCTTAGCATTAGCTTAGCTTTAGCTTAGCTCTAGCTTAGCCTCAGCTTAGTGTTAGCTTAGCTTTAGCTTAGTGTTAGCTTAGCTTTAGCTTAGCTTTAGCTTAGCTTCAGCTTAGCTTTAGCTTAGCTTCAGCTTAGCTTTAGCTTAGCCTCAGCTTAGCTTTAGCTTAGCGTTCGCTTAGCTTCAGCTCAGCTTTATCTTACCTTTAGCTTAGCTTTAGCTTAGCTTTAGCTTAGCTTTAGCTTAGCTTTAGCTTAGCTTTAGCTTTAGATTAGCTGTAGCTTAGATTTAGCTTATATTTAGCTTAGCTTTAGCTTAGCTTTAGCTTAGCGTTAGCTTAGCGTTAGCTTTAGCTTAGCTTTAGCTTAGCTTCAGCTTAGCTTTAGCTTAGCTTTACTGTTACTACTAATGCTGCTTTCCTAGGGGCTCCAACTCCTCGGTAGGGTCGCACTGGGATAATTGCTTGTGACTCCGCAGTTACTGTTTCATAGCTTCGCGGATGCATTCTGTTTTTTCGGCGAGGCCGTGCATATGCTCTGCGGAGGCCCGCAGGAGGCTTGCAGGGAAATTTCCGAGGGCCTGCGGATGCCTCTGCGGAAGCCTGGCGGGGAAAAAAACAAAGGGTCCTTGATCTGGCCCTGTAGGAGCCCTGCCCGAGACAAGCCTAGATCTGGATGTAACCCGCTATCCACGTAGCACATCCAAATGAACGACGAAAAGAAACGGGTCTTACGCGAGACAGCACAGCGACCTTACGCGGTGGCTTACGCCTGCCGCCAGCGTTGCACGCTACACTGGAGACGAGGGCGCTTACGCGCGACCTTGGGCTTGGAGCTTGCGCACCAACGTCGGCGAAGACGACCTCGATTTCTTTCGTCGATCAGGTGGGGATCCTCGTCCGCCGGCGGCGCCGAGCCGCGGCCCGGAGGCGGGCCAGGCGGCAGCGGCGGCGGCAGAGCTGCGGCCACCGCGCCCGGCCGCCCCGAGGGCGGCGCGGGCCGCCGCGCGCCGGCCGCGGGGGCCTCTGGCGCGCGCCGCGCCGCGACGGGGTCCGCGAGGGCGGCCGCCGCCGGGCGGCCGTCAGCGGCCGCCAGCGGCGCCCGGGCGCCGGCGGAGCCGCCGCGCTGCGCGGGCGCATGCTTGGGCCGGAGTTCCGCGGCGTCCGCGGCCGCCGCGGGGCGCGGCCCCGCGCGAGTGGGCTTCGCCGCGGGCGTGGCGCCGAGACGCTTCCAGGTGCCGGAGGGGGCCCGCACCTGCTTGCCCTGCAGCGCGAGCAGGGCCCGGAAGGCGGCGCCGTCATCCTGGAGGCAGGAACCCCGAGATCAGGGCGTCGCAGCATTTTCGCAACGAGCGTTTTCGCCCGGATCCGGCTGAACAAACCCAGAAGCTGCAAAGCGCTAGTTTTATAAATGCTGCGTTAACACACAATCGAAATAAATGTGTAATGAAGCATAGCTGAAACACATTTAATCCGCCGGCCCCCTTGTGGGGCCACCAGGCTGTAGGCGCGAGGTTCGCAGTTTCCTGTACCAGTTGTAGCTTGTAGTTTCCAGTGTTACAGTTCTGCTTCTTGCTGGTTACTGTAACTAGTTGACTTATTGCTGGTTACTGTAACTAGTTGATTGACCGCGCGAGGGGGGGGGAGGCCCAAACCAGATTTTTAGCACCCCCTGGGCGCGTTGTCTGAATTGCTGGGGGGGCTCGAAATCGACACCCCTCACGCAGATCCGCGGGGTCAGGGTCCAAAAACACAGGGATTTGCCACATTTCTGAAATTCGGTGCCACCCCTCACGCAGATCCGCGGGGTCAGGGTCCAAAAACACAGGGGATTTGCCACATTTCTGAAATTCGGTGCCACCCCTCACGCAGATCCGCGGGGTCAGGGTCCAAAAACACATGGGATTTGCCACATTTCTGAAATTCGGTGCCACCCCTCACGCAGATCCGCGGGGTCAGGGTCCAAAAACACATGGGATTTGCCACATTTCTGAAATTCGGTGCCACCCCTCACGCAGATCCGCGGGGTCAGGGTCCAAAAACACATAGGGGATTTGCCACATTTCTGAAATTCGGTGCCACCCCTCACGCAGATCCGCGGGGTCAGGGTCCAAAAACACAGGGGATTTGCCACATTTCTGAAATTCGGCGCCACCCCTTACGCAGATCCGCGGGGTCAGGGTCCAAAAACACAGGGGATTTGCACATTTCTGAAATTCGGTGCCACCCTTCACGCACATCCATCGCAAGGCGTGGTAACCCAAACTGCGAGAACTCCCTCGGCCCTTTAATCGCAAGGTGTGGTAACCAAGCCCGTAAACCATACACGTCTTACCAATCGCCAGGTGTGGTAACCCCTCTTGTGATCAGTTGGTTTTGCTGATTGCGAATCGGCTTCGCATGGAGTTTCGATACTGCTTCACGACAGCGCCAAGGCCTCATGACTTAGCTCTTCCATGGCCCATTCTCCGAGAGAGGGGGCCGGCGGCAGGGGGCGAATCCCTTACGGATATTATGTATACGTATTTAGAAGCAGTTAGCCATATTTAACAACATATTTACACATGTACAGAATGTGCAAACTCAGATTGCAGATGCCACTACCCATAGTCTCACGTCACGTTTGTTGGAGGGCGTTGTGTCCCCCCGCCATGCCCTTTACAAGAAGACGTCGATGGATCTCTGACATCGCCCCCCGACGTCCTTGGGTGTCCGTCGCTGCCACGGCCGCTGCCGTTGCCCATGCCCAACGTCCCACGTCCTCCCCCCCTCCTCCGCCTCCTCCTGCTCCACCAACCCGTCCCTTCCGCAGCCGCTTTGGCTCGAGCTTGATCTTCCCTATAGGGAAGATCCTCCTGCAAGGCAGTGTCTTTCTGCATGGCGAAACGGGCCCCCAGACCATCTACTTCGCATTTCGACGCGGGCGCACTTGCAGTTGCATGGGGGCCGCTAGCCAACATGAAGAAGCCAGGGTTTGAATGGGACTGCTCGGACTACGAGAAGCTGAGCCGCTCAGCAACCCCATCGGTGGAGTCGTTGGCAAAGTTTGCGCCTGCTCTGACGCACCTCCTGGACCTGGCACCGACGGGCATTCCTGAAATGAACGCGCTTCGGATCGCGCTGGCGACACTGCGCGCTGAGTGCAAGACTTTCGGGCCCCTGGCCGACGTGTGCATGTTCAAGGTGACCACGGAAGCCGCCGACCACTGGCGCATTTTGTGCAGGCACGTGTACGACCTGAAAAAGAGCGACAAGCTTGACGATATCCACAATGCCCCCGTGCGAGCGCTGACGGACAACATCAGGCTCCCAAGCTGCTCGCCTACGGCTTCAGAGATGGCAGTTGGCCCCGCCGCTGTCGACGGTGGCACGGTCGGCGATCGCGACGATTGTGAAGCAGAGCTGACCGTCCAGGAAGTGAAGGAAATGTTCGACTACGCGGAGTCCGGCTCGAGCGATTGCGCCATCACAAAGGTCATCTGCCAGTGCGACGAGTGCAAGGCGAGACTCCAGCGTGCCAAGGCGAAGAGGAACATGGACGTGGATGCGTTGCCAACTGACAACCCCCTCCCGAACCCGAAGATGGGCGGCCAGAGTTGATACTGTGGGTAAGAAGGTTTTCGTGAAGAGGCCCGCTGCTGCCGCCGCAGGCGAAGGGAACGCGAAGAAGAAGCCTGCTTGCAGCCCCGCTGGGAACGACAAGAGCACGCTCCCAGTGAAGATCGGGCGGAGGAACGGCGGCACCAAGCCGAAGGAGGCCTACATCCTCCACTCACCCGACGCTGGCCCCTTCAGGTACCTTGCTGGCCAGTCGTTCACCATGTGCGACAATTACCTGGAGAACATCAGCGAGCTTTGCAAGAAGATCGAGCGGGGCGACATCACCACGAAGAGTGGTGCGAAGGAGTGGTTACTGCGCTTCGTCTAAATGAGGAGAACTAGGTACGGTCGCCAGTCAGCCCCAGGAAGCTCGTCCCCGATCGGTGCACCCTGCCCCCCAAAAGAAAAAAAACCTGCCCCTCGGAGGTCCTCTAAATTGTTGTTTGCGCCGTCGAAATGTCCACCCATGAGCGCCGCCAACCCACAGCGAACCAACCTTCGCAAACGCCGAATCGCATCCGCCTCCTCATCCTCATCCTCATCCTCCTTCTACTTCCCCTCCTCACCTTCTCCCTCCTTCTCCTCCTTCTCCTCCTCGGCGTAGTCATCCTCCTCCCCCCCTCCTCATCCTTCACCTTCTCGTCGGCATTGCGTTGGACTCGCGCTGGCATCCACCGTTGCATTGCGCGCGTTGCACTCGATCGGCCACGAGACTGATTAGACATTGCAGTGCGTTGCGTTGCTGATAAGCCCTGGGTCTCTTGACTGCTGGCCCGTTCCGATTGCGCCTCCAGGGGAAACACTCACGGCGCCTGGTTGTATGCTTATGCGTTAGGCCTCGAGCGGTCTAAGAAGCTATCGGCCCTCCGTCGCGTAGCAGTTTTGGCTCAAACGGATCTCGTCAGCAAGCGCCTCGAACGCACCAGTTTACGCCTGCACTCAGAATGCCCGCCAAACCCAAGATCGAGGATGGGAAAACAAAAAAACAGCTCTCGTTGACGGGACGCCTGGTTCGCATGCCACATCCAGCTCCAAGCTCTACGCTGGAACCCGCATCGGCTGCTCGACACAAGAAGGCCACGACCGCAAAGAAGGCGGCATCGCCAGCTTTGCCACCAGCCCCGAAAGCCGCCTCAGCGGCAACGCCAACGCCGACTGAAGAACCTGCACCAGGAGCGCCACCGTCTAGCCAACCTGAGGATGATTCAGCTCTTTCGGCGCTGTCGGCGGACAAGGCCAAGCACAACACGTTGGACTACAGGTTGAAGAAGGACGCGAACTTGAAGGAGCGCTGGAAAGAGCTGAAAGCCACAGCCAGCCATGAGGAGCAGATGAAGTGGGTTGACGACGTCATCGCCTGCAAACCTGGCCAAGCCCCCGCCAAGTTCTACACGAAAAAGAGGGACATCACGAACGTGGACGAGGAGAGAGAGCAGGGGAGGTGGATCTCCGTCAGGGCAACTGCCAATCAAGATGGGGAAGCTGCCGTACTGGAGATGATCCAGCGCGGGACCATGAAGACGAAGCGGAACCCGAAGCTGCCTGAGGACAGCAAGGTAGGGTGGCCGTTCAACCAAGTAGTCGCCAACGCCGAGGAGGTTTGGAGTTCGACGAGCCGAGCGCGACGAGGACGAGTCGAAAGCCGAGGAGTTCGACAACCAGTTCCAAGACATCAAATCGAAGAAGAACTTGAGCGGCTAGGGCTCTTACCGTGCGAACCCAGGTCCTGCCGCCGTGAACCCGCAGGGCGATGGCAACGCGGAGAAGGACAAGAAGGACCTCGCGGCAATCCTGAAGGAGGCGTCCGAGGTCGACGCGCTGCTGCTGGCAACCGACAATAAGTTCAACGCCAAGGTGCCACTCACCAATGAGGACATCAAGGACCCGCGGACCTCCATCCTCGTCGTCCTCCTCAGTCCCTTCCTCTCCTCTCTTCCATCCCCCTCCTCCTCCTCCTCGTCCTCCTTCTGCAGTCAATTTGCTACACTGCTACATTCAAATCAGCATGGATCTGTGATGCTCTTGCTGTAAGGAGGAGCCTGCCTTGCAACCCCGCTGGGGGACACCACTGGCTGACGGTGGGACCCCGAAAATGGTGGAAACCGAGGGGCCCACTAGCAGCACCGTCCCTTGCGACGCTGCGCTGAGAAGGGTCGAGAGGCCTCCTCAGCAGCACAATCATTCAACACAGACAAATCGCTCGCACCGTATGCAAGCGAGATCCTGATCACGGCCCAGGTCGTTCCTCTGAGAATCGGGCACAGCTCAAGGATTCCTCGGAACTCGACTTTGCTCCCGCCGACGGCGTCTGGAGGATTCCTCGGAACTCGACGTTGCCCCCGCCCCTGAGCCCTCTCGGCTGGGGGGTCAGGGCCATGACTCCCCCCCCAGCAACATGATTCAAGCTGCTTAGAAACATGTTGGTTCCTCCTCCTCCTCCTCTTCCTCCTCCTCCTCCTCCCCCACATTACCCCTGTCTCCTCCGCGTTGCTTTCGCCGCCCCTTTTCTCTGCCTCGCCCAAACGGATCGGCCAAACATCGCTGGCATGTCAGGGGAACCGTTTGGGTACGAACAAGGCCCTTGCAATATTTGGTTGTTTTTTTCCACTTGGGATGCGACAGCGAAAACCTGAAGCGCGTCAGGAATACGGCGCCGCCGTGGGCTTCAAACCGCGGGCCGTTGCACCATGGAGGTGGAACCTACGTGGAAGGGAGGAAGGCAGGAGGAAGGGAGGATGAGGAGGATGAGGAGAAAGAGGAGGAGGAGGAGGAGGAGGCCGAACTGGAAGAGGTATTCCGCGGGGTCCAGGGGGCAGTGGCCCACGCTCAGCCTATCCCGATCCATCTTCCTCTCGCGCCCCCCCCCGCTGCCCGTCCGCCCAGGACTCGGCTGCTCGCGTCGCAACCCGGGCCGACTTCATGAAAAACGGCGGCAAGAAGGCGGCCGCGCTACGGCCATGGTTTTCGGTGGAGTGAGGTTCGCAGGGGTCGAACGCTGACCCCAACAGGGCCGAGTGCTTCGCGGAGTCGTTAAGCGCCCAGGGGGGGGGGGGGGGCGCAGCCCGGGGGCCCAGGGGCCGTTTCAGCTTTCAGAAGTTTTTTTTGTTTCATATGTTTCACATGGTTTCAGATTCCTTAGTGCTTCATTATATAAAGTTTCAGATGCATCTGACAAATCTGGAGAAAAAACAAAATCGGGGGCAACCCGGTGACCTCGACGCCGCCGCCGCGACTCCGCTCTCCCTTTCTCGTTCTCTCTCCCTCTGTCTCTCGCTTGCTCACTCGCTTTCCTCACTCTGCCTTTCCATCTCAATCTCTCTCTCTCTCTCTTTCTCTCTCTCCACCGCGTCGCCGCGTCGGCGCGTCGGCGCGTCCCTCGGCCTTGGCAGGGGCCGCGCTTCGAGGGCGGGCGGCGCAGTGCAGTTGTGCCAGCCGAGACCCAGAGGCACGCAGAGGGATGGGCCTCGAACCACAGAACACGGGGCAAATTGTTGGACTCTAGGGGGGGCAAGGAGGAAGGAGGGCGGGGGGGGGAGGAGGGGGAGGAGGGGGCGTGGCTCGTTTTGCGGCTCCTCACGCCCCTCGTTTTGCCCCTCGTTCACGGGGCGGCGGTGCACCTCCCATGGAAAAGGTAATTAGTTTCGTAGCACTTGAGACTCCCGCTGAATCCAAGAGAATGGGAGGAGAGGAAAAGGAGAGGAGAGAGAGGAGATGATGAGGGGATGGGAAGGGGGAGCAGGAGGAATGGAGGAGGAGGCGGCGGTGGTGGAGGGGGGGAGGAGGGGGAAATTGCAACACAAATCAGAAAAACGATTACGACGTGTTCGAAGATTGCAGACGATGCGATCCAGCAGATAGGTCCACATCTATCGAGGCGCAGATGTTTCGTGGCCGCGAGGCCCCTTCGAGACAAACGAGGGGGAGAGGAGGATGAGGAGGAGGAGGACGGGGAGGAAAAGGAGGAGAAGGAGGAGGGGGAGGAGGAGGGGTGAGGCGGCAAAGGAGGCTCGGAGCGGTTGAAGAAAAACAGCAACAGGATAGTCAAACACATTTTTTTCTCAAGCGGGGCGAAGGGTAGAAAAGGAGGAAGAGGAGAAGGAGCAGCTAGGGCGCGACGACTGGAGGGGGAGGAGGATGAGGAGGAGGAAGAGGAGGATCGCACGCCACTAAGGGGAGAAAGAGAGAGAGAGAGACTCCGACGGTCAGCCGAAAACTCCAGGGGGGGTCCATCAGAGAGGAACTGCTTGCCACCCTGGCAGGAAGGCCGAAGACCCCCCATGGGGCCAGCGACAGGAACCCCCCTAGGAAAAAAAACTCGCCGTTTTCGTCCTGGGGCAGGTCATCCTGCCCTTTGCCCTTCAAGAAGGCCCCCAGCTCTCTGGCTTCGCCTTCGTTCAGACCGAAGGCTTGGAGGCAGTCAGCAAGGCACAAGTCACGATGCCCTGCAACACACTGAGCAGCCCCGCGCCGCCCCCCACCCCCACAGCTGGGCCCCAACTTCCTGAAAACCGCCCGCGAACACCTCGCGAGAACGCACCCCAGGAGTCACCCAGGAGCCCAGCCTGAGGGGGCGGTTCGGATGCTTGCCCTTGAAACAAAGCATGCTTGTTCTTCTTCCCTGGATCGACCAAGGCTACCTGGGAACCCTGACAGGCACTCTTGAGGCCTTGAGGCTCGGCGCCAATGGTCGCAGATGCTCCACAAGTGGAGCAAAACAACAAAAGGGCCTGCTCTTGGCCCGACACGGGGAACTCCAGGAGCTGATGGCCTCCAGAAATCCAAGGGATCTGGGCCGCATCAGCAGCCTGTCGAGCCAATTCGGGCGCCAAGGTCTCCGAGGGGGCCTGAGGCGGGCTCTGAGGGTGGGTCGGAGGCGGGGCTCTAGCAGCAGCAGCAGCAGCCTCCTCCTCCTCATTCCTCGCCCAGTCCTCGGCCTGGGCCCACGCTGGGTCGCCCTCGAGTGAGGCCAAGGTGAGCCCCTGGGCACCTGTATTATCGTATCGGCCTTCTTCAGAATAAAAAAAAACCTCAGCTCGTGTGATGAACTGCATGAGCTGTCGAGCTAGAAACAGCATGCCTTTGCACAGCATTCTGTCCTGCTGGTCATGCCGACTCAGCTCTGCACCTGCTTTGGCCAGTCTATCAGGCTGGGTGCTGCCCGTCCTCTCGAATTCAGAGATTCGCCCCTCACGGACATCAACCATCGAAGAGTGGGCCACCACCTTTTTCCAGCCGGCTGCACCGAGCGAGCCCTGGGCGAAAGTCTCGCGCCAACGGTGGGCTCGCACATTGCTAG